TGATGTGTGTATGGATTGGGATAACAGTTGTATGAGCCCCTAATAAAATGTTTAAAAAAAAAAAAAAAGAAAGGTGGACTCGGAATAAGGATGACCGGAGAAGAATTATGGTGTTGCTGAACAATACTGAAAGTACCAGGGACTGCCAGAAGGGCAAACACATCTGTCTTGGAAGATGTACAGCCACAATTCTGGCTAGACGTAAGATAGCAAGACTTCGTCCCACACTCTTTGGACCTGTTTTCAGACGAGAACAGTGCCTGGGAAAGGACATCATGTTTGGTAAAGTAGAGGGTCATCAGCAGAGAGGAAGACCTTCAATGAGATGGATTGACACAGTGGCTGCAGCAATGGGCAAGCGTAACAAGAATCAGGGGGATGGTGCAGGACGGGGCAGTGTCTTGTTCTCTTGTACATAGGGTCGACATGAGTCGATGAGAGCCTACTAGACGGCGCCTAACACCAATCGTGACATTCGTAAGGAGTCTGTTGGTACAGTGCTTAAGAACTTGGCTGTTAACCTAAAGGTTGGTGGTTCCAATGCTCCAGCTCCTCTGCAGGAGAAAGAAGTGGCAGTCTGTTTCTGTGAAGATTTACCACCTGAGAAACCCTCTGGGGCAGGTCCACTCGGCACTGAGAACTGCTGAGTCGGAACCAACTCAAGGGCACACGACAGCAGTGGCATGCTTTTGGCTATGAATGAATCAATGTTCACTGCAAAGCCAGTACGTCTGTGTCATTTCTTTTGTAATTTTTTAACCGTTTCCTAGCATTTATAATTCCCTTACATTTTTATTTGTTTTGCTTATTATAGGCTGTAATTATCCCCTTTATTCTATTTTTTTCCCTTTGGCCTTTGTGGGTGGTGTATAAATTTGAATAATAGTCGTATTAACTGGTCTGTCATGTAGGCAGATATTAACTGACTGCTGAAAGCATTGCTTTTCAGAATGGGTCTTGGAATGTTCTTTTGGATGATGAATGTGGTGTTATTCCTCTTTAACTTGTTATTCCCAGCATAATCAATGTAGTACAGTAAGCAGCAGTCCAGTACTTGATAGGGCTCCTCT